TAGCTACTAGCTAGGTAAAACATTGATTGCTTTTCCCAGTTCTGAGATCTGATCTGAGCATGCGCGACCACGCCCAAATTTTGGAGCACATGCTTCTATAATTAACAAAATGGCGACGGGAGGTAAGCTGGCCTGATACAGCAGTTATAACATCACTTTTTCTTATCTTGGAGAATGATTTTAGGGGACATGGATCTGCGCATTGACTGTTGGAGTAGACTGGTGTAAGAATTAGCCTTCTAGCACCAGCCAAGATCGAGATACACCTGGCCAACTGAATTGACAGGACTTGATGAAGATGAAGATGAAAAAAGGTGGCTGAACAAAACGGCCGGTTCGCCAATTTTTGAATTTCCTCTTAGACAAGGTCTAGAGCCACGCTAGTAGTACCAACGGAGTCCTCTGGTCAAGACAAGGTCCTCTAAGAAGTCTGGTAAGCATAGGAGCTCGTTTTCTCGGTATAGCAAGGCTGCAAAAGTCGTGGCAGCCATTTTGTTTGGGGGTGAATCCTACTTAGTAACGCTACCGCGTTACTAATAGGATTAGTAATAATAATTACATTCTCTCTCTCTCTCTATTCCAGAATGCTCATGCTTATGTTAATGCTGCATTCAGTATGGAAGTTAATCCTGACAATATGCTAGTTAAATCTTTACCTTCATTTGTATTTGGAGGCATCAATGAACATGCAGTAAGCAATTGTACATGCACATACATTATACCATTAAAAATATTATAAAAGTAGTGAGTGTTAGTGTGTTTATTTACAATGTCAGTTATAGTGGGAAATTTTTGAGGGATATAAATTCGGCGAATTGGTGTTTTGATAGCCATTTGCCAAATTTAAAATTTGCCATTTTGAGCCATTATACGCATGCTCAATGGCACGTGGCCACAAATTTGCTAAATTATAATCCGCCAATCACCAGAATTTAGCGATTCGCAAAATTTCACTCCCTCCAAAATTTCCCGCTATATGAGATTGCGTGTGCATGATTATAGTATTTTAAGCACTGCAGTGCAATACACAGTATAGAGTTTGCATATCATCAGTGGATTGTACACATGTACATGTACATGTATGTGATTATTTTGTTTGTTTAGATATCAGCTCCAATAACTGAGTCATTCATGATTGGTAAGTCATTGAAGGATCCCAATACACTGAAGGGGGCCCTGAAGAACCTTGCTAATGAGATCAGACCTAATGCCCCTCCTGTATCAGCTAGTCCTGGGTATAGGAAGAGCCTCGCTCTGAGCCTGTTTTATAAAGTATGGACAATTGGACGTGTGTATGTACATGTACATGTACAGTAACTTCTTTATCTTGCAGTGATGTGTAATACAATGTACATGTACATATACGTTGCTTGATACTATTGGGGTGTTTGTCAATTTTTTATTTTATTTTACATGTTTTTATGTTGTTCAGAAGTTTTAAGCTATATCCAATCAAAATTGGATTTTTTAACAAATTTTTGAAGTTGCTCAAAAATCGGGTCAAAGTCCATGTACTATAGTACAGTATCACGGGTCAAATTTTGTCAAAAATAAAAAAGAGAGAATTCTCCATTTTAATAATTTTTCTGA